CAGAACCTCACGCGGATGGCCTCTTGTTTGGTCCACATATCAAAACCTGGTCACTCTGACGGGTCTCAGTAGCGAGCAGACTTGTCCTGCTGGTGCTGGGGTGCAGAGTCTGCCCAGTCTGCTGTGGGGAAAGCTACACCTCACCTCTGTGCGCATGCCTGGACACGTCCCCAGCGGGCGTGAGCCCACTGCCACCAGAGAGGCCACAGGGCCCTTGACCGTCCCAGGGCAACACTGCCCCTCTTCAGGGTCTGTCTGCAGAGCGGGGCGGTGGACACACACCGGCACCCTGGACCCCCGCCCAAAGCCCCTTGCTTCTCAGACCCCTGAGACACGGTCATCTGCCCCCTCAGGGCCTGCTCCCCTGGCCTGCGCGGGCCACCCTGACGCACAGCTCACCCACAAAGCAAACAGAAGCCTAACAGCTGCCTCATGCCACTCACGTGAGCCGGGATTACGGGCGGCCCTATGCCTGGTCATGTCTGAAGCTGGCACATGACGGCGGGACTCGGCATTCCCTGGCAGCAGGCGGGGAGCCGGGGCCCGCATGCAGCCACGGCCCAGGCCGGCACGGCTGGCGGGTGCTGGGACTTTGGGCTCAGGAGGGGCTGGGGCAGAGGCTGCAAGCAGAAAGGGGCCGAGGAAAAGCCCGGCCTGCCCGGACCCTCGGCTCTTCCCCGGCTCTCCCTGGGCAAGGCACGCAGCACTCCGGCCCTGCCCCTCGCTGGCCCAAGCCGCCCCTGTGCCCTCCGCGCTCCTGCAGTGCTGGGGAAACTCAGCCTCCTGGTCTCTCGGCCTTGCGCATGCGTGCCATCCCTGTCCTGCCCGGTGGCAGGACACTCTCTCAGGGACATCTCTGCTGAGAGCCCTGGCTGCCTGGCTGTGGGTCCTCAAGAGGTCTTGGGGGTCCACAAGGTTCCAACATGCCCCGAGACACCACAGACAGTCAGAGGTCACAGCCTCCCCGGTTCCAGAAGCCAACCGTGCCGGGCTCAGCTGAAGACCGGGAGGAGCGCATGGGCGGAGGGAAGCCTAGCGTGGATGGGCGGAGGGAAGCCTAGCGTGGATGGGCGGAGGGAAGCTTAGCATGGGCCTTGGGCCTCGCTCTGGAGGGCAGAGCAAGTGGCTTCTGAGTGACCCAGGGAGGGGCCCAGGAGGAGTCATCCCAAGAATGACCTATGACCCAGCCCCACGCCCGCGGCTCACACCTCCTACCTACACAGGGGGCTGAGATGGGAGGAGTGCAGTTTGAAGCCAACCGTGGGCAAGAAAGTCTCCAATTAACCAGCAAAAAAAGCCACACGTGGAGCTGTGGCTAGAGTGGTAGAGTGCTAGCCTTGAGTGAAAAAGCAAAGACACTGCACCATGCCCTGAGTTCAAATCCCAGTTCCAGCACACACACACACACACACACACACACACAGAACCCAAGATGGCGTCGTGAGCACCCTGTCCCTGGAGGCGCACCAGCCGAGGCACAGCTGTGGGAGAAAGGGTGGGCTTTGTACAGGGGCCCTGGGGCCCTTTCAAAGGCTCCCCCCCCCGCCAGTATCAAGCCACAGCACAGGCCAGGGCAGAGCACAGGCCCTGAAGCGGGCCCTCTCCTTCTGGGGCCTGTCATTCATTAGCACCGCCCAGGGTCCACGCGTGCCCCGGCTGCCTGGCTCCTGTGCCCAGGCCGCACCTGACACGGCAGGTCGGAGCACGGCCCGGAGAGGAGGGGCCCCTTCCCAGACCCCAGACCGCAGCCAGGTGCCAGCAGGAGGTCCTTGCGTAGCACTGTGCGGCTGTGGCCAGAGCCACCCTGGCTGAGAGCCGGGCCTGTCACCCAGGACAGCGAGGACCCTAGGCTGGAGTCACTGGTTAAAAAAACTTGTCCATGCTGAGTGCCCCTGGCTCCCACCTGTCATCCTAGCTACTCCGGAGGCTGAGAGCTGAGGATTGCAGTTTGAAGCCATCTGGAGCTGGAAAGTCCGTGAAGCTCTGATCTCCAGTGAACCACCAGAAAAACCATAAGTGGCACTATGGCTCAAGTGGTAGAGCGCTAGCCTTGAGCTGAAAAACCCAGGGACAGTGCCCAGGCCCAGAGTTCAAGCCCTACAACCGACAGAAAGAACAACAAAAACCCAAAAACCTGTCCACTAGGGGTAGGAGGCAGAAAAGGCTCAGGGCCAGCACTGCACCGGCTCAGGCTGGAGGCCAGAGGAGGGACACCAAGATGGCGGGAGCACCAGGAGAAGGGTGGGGAGGCGGCAGGGGCCGGGCCGGGCTGGCTTCTGAGTGCCAGGGAGAAGAGCAGGGGTGAGGCCTGGGAGGCCCCGCCCACACCCTGGGCTGCCGCAGGGAGCTCCTGTGGGCCCACCGGGTGCAGCAGGGCGGGCAGGGCGGGGAGGCAGTGGGAGGGCTGGACCCCGAAGCCACCCGGGGCTGCGTGGCTGCGTGGACAGGTTTCTGTGCGATGCCGGACAGTCAGGCAGCCGGAGGAGCTGACACGGTGGCAGTAAGAGGATGGTGTGCCGTAGTGCCAGCGCTCCCGTGGGTCTGTGGCACTTGGAGCTGTGGGTGACAGGGGCAGGGGCACCCAGAGGCAGGGCACCCCCGGGCCTGGGGGGGCAGTCAGAGACTGGCTTGGGAGCCAGGGAGAGCGCACCATCCGGACCACCTGGGCCATTGGTGGCCAGACAGGGGCAGTGGTGTGGCAGACCGTGCGACAGGGAGAGTGCGAGAGGGGTGTGAACAGCTGGACCCCAGCGTTCACCTCTGAAAGCCCGAGGAGGCAGGAGAGGCATGGAAGCATATTCCTTGGAAGCAGAGCGGGGGCCACACGTGTTCTCTCAGAAGGGGACCGGGGACGGGGGGCAGGGGGAGGGGCAGAGCCAACGCCTGGATGCCCGGCCCCAAGGGAGTTCGGGGTGGGGGCCGCCCGGGGTGGAGCCCACCTTGCGGCTAAGGATGGCCCTGGCACCCGGCATCAGTCCTGTGGGCAGAGCTCAGGCCCTTCCGGCTCCTGTTGGCCCCGGCGAGCCTTCCCGGCGGCCGGCCGTGGTGCTCAGTGAGGCGTCCGGGGGGAGGGGGGTGGGCAGCGGCCGCCGCTTTGCTCCTTGGGGACAGGGCAGAGGCTGGGGGCCCACGCCGCCGTCTGCCAGTCCTCGTGGCACCACCCCTGGGGGAGGCTGGGGCTGGTTTCCCAGCTGCTCACACAGCAACGCCATCAGCATGGCCTGAAGGGCGACAGAGCCAGAGCCCACACTCCAGAAGCCAAGCAGCTTCTCAAAAGGCCCCCGAGCCTCAGTTTCTCCAGGAGCTCCACGGCTTGGCGGCCCTGGGCTGGGGGGCCAGGCGGGCAGGTGGGCAGCTGGCACAAGGCAGACACTCATGCCAGTGCCCTACCAGCCCGCCACAGCTGGCACTGGAGGGAGGGAGCTGCACTTGGGTGGTAGGCCCCGCGGGAGGAGGTGGTGCCACCCTGGCTCTGCCAGGCGCCACCCACAGCTGCTCACCGCAAAGGGGCCCCCGGGGACTTTCCCCTGCGCCACCCTGAAGCCCCTCCGCAGCACCACCAGCCCTGCAGAGCAGCTCTGGCCTGGGTCCCGGCAGCTGTGGGGCTGCTTGGCAGCTCCGGGCCTCTGGGTTGGAAGGATGTGCGCTGTGCGCGCCTGCGGGCCAGGTAGCCAGCAAGCCAGCAAGCCAGGCTCCGGGCTCTGAGCCGGACTGCTGCCACGGCCTGGAGAGAAGCTGAAATCACCACCGCACTCTCCTGCTGGCAGCAGCCCGGGGCACCTACTGTGCGCAGAAACTGGCAGACACACAAGGCAGGCCGGCAACTCCCGGGGCCCAGGGCCGCTGACTGACAAGGCCAAGGCTACATGATGGATTCAAAGCATGTTCCCTGATCCGTGACACGGCACTCTGAGGACAGGAGGGCTGCCGCGAGGGTCCCAGCAGGGACACCCGGCCATCCCCACGTGGCCAGGTCCCATGGCTCCTCGGCATGATTCAGCCCGTGTCCGCCTGAACCCCAGCCCAGTTCCACGCCGCAGACCTCCTTCTAGCCGTCAGTCCTCTCGCTGTGGCATTCCCAGGGTCCCCTTCCCGCTGCCTGCACACCCCCCCGCCAGCCTTCCCCAGGGCAGCTACTGCTCCCCTCAAGTCCCCAAGCCACCTGGGAAGTGCCATGCTGTCCCTGCTCTCTGGAGAAGGCATTCGCTGGGCGCTGGTAGCTCACACCTGAAACCCTAGCTACTCAGGAGGCTGAGAGCTCAGGATGGAGCTGGAGAGTCCATGAGACTCTTACCTCCAATGAATCAGCAAAAAGCCAGAAGTGGAGATGTGGCTCAAGTGGCAGAGCACCAGCCTTGAGCTGTGCCCTAGGGCCGGCACATGCATGCGCGCGCACACACGCACACACACCGCAGGGACCTTGGCCTGGATCTGCCGGGCCAATCACCACAGCGTAGGCCCTGCCCACTACCCTGTATGGCCACACCCCCGGTCACCAGAGCGCATGCTCTGCTCACTTCCCTGCATGGCCCGCGCCCATCCGCTCCTGCCTGTGTTGAACATGGTCCCCTTGGCCTCACAGCCCCCATCCACACGCACAAGCTGCGGCCCCCACCTCGGGTGTCATGGTACCCCAGGGGTGTAGCCACATGAGGGGCTCCTGCGCTCCCCACCCCGAGCCTGGCCTGGAGCAGGGCCCCACAACAGGGTGCTAGCCACCTCGGAGTGTGGAGGCATGCGCAGAACAGCGACGTGGGCGGCCCGGCCCCCGGCCCCCACCCCTGGCCCCCGGGACCCCCGGCCCCCCCCAGCCCCCGCCCATGGCCCCCTGGTCCCCAGGACCCCCGGCCCCCACCCCTGGCCCCCGGGACCCCCGGTCCCGGCACCCCCCAGCCCCTGCCCATGGCCCCCTGGACCCCGGCCCCCCAGCCCCCGCCCCCTGGCTCCTCCCCCCCCCCGACCCCGCCCGCGGCCGGCCCGCTAGCCCAGACAGCCCTTACCTACTCGAAGCTCCTGCCCGAAGACGGTCTTCTCGCCCAGGGCAGAGCAGTTCCAGCGGCCGAAGCGGAACTGGTACTGGCACTCGTTGATGCCCATCTGCGCCCCCTCCCCAATCACGATGATGGCATCGGGCCGGCTCTGGCAGATGGCGCGCTGCCGGGGGGCCAAGCCGGGAATCTTGTTGCAGATGATGTTGGCTCCCAGGGCCACAACGGATGACAGTGCTCTGTGGAGACAGGGAGGGGACCCGGCGGTGAGGTCGGCGGCGAGGGCTGGGATGGTGAGGCCCAGGCAGCGAGGCCTGGACGGTGAGGCCGGCGGTGAGGCCTGAGCGGTGAGGCCCGGGCGGTGAGGCCCAGGACAGCGAGGCCTGGGTGGTGAGGCCAGTGGTGAGGCTGGCGGTGAGGCCCGGGTGGTGAGGCCCGGGTGGTGAGGCCCAGGTGGTGAGGCCGGCGGTGAGGCCCGGGTGGTGAGGCCAGTGGTGAGGCTGGCGGTGAGGCCCGGGTGGTGAGGCCCGGGTGGTGAGGCCGGTGGTGAGGCCCGGGTGGCAAGGGCCGGGTGGTGAGGCCTCCCTGCCGGCAGCCTGACCTTCCTCATCCCTTTCCCCCACTGACTGTCCTCACCCGCCTCGTTCCTGCCCACCAGGAAACAGTGACCCATGTCTTCAAGGGTCCTTTTCCATTGTCCTGGCCTCCCCCGAGTCCAGGGCCTCCCCGCCTCCCAGCTGCCAGAACCACAGACTCTCAGCCCATGGCCTGGCCACCATCTCCAGGCCTCCAGTTCAGACCCACAAGCCCTCTCCCCTTGGAAGGCCACCGCCACGGTCATGGCGCAGGTCCCCAAGGGTGTACCCAACTCCCAGACCACCATGCTTAGCTCCGGGGTATAGTTCCTGGCTCCCTTCCCCGGCTCCCAGCAGCCTCAGACCCCAGCTCCAGCCTGTGTAACCCATAAAAGATGTTCCAAGCCTCAGTTTCCTCCTGCACAAAATGGGCACATAAAACATCTCTCCCCCTGGGTGTCTGTGGCTCATGCCTGGGATCCTAGCTACTGAGAAGCTGAGAGGTCCAAGGATCTAAGTTCAAAACCAGCCTGGGCAGGAACGTCAGTGAGACTCTTTAACTACTAACGAAGCTAGAAGTGGTGCCGTGGCTCAAGCGGTTGAGCTCTAGCCTTAGGTGAAAAACCTCAGGGACAGCACCCAGGCCCTGAGTTCAAGCCCCAGGACCAGCTCACACACACACACACACACACACACACACACACACACCTTCCCCCTCACACACACTACCAGCACACAAGCAGCAGGAACAGGTTGCTCACTTCTGGGAGACCAAGCACACCCAGGAACCCAGCTAATCACCCCCACTGGATGCTGGTCTTGGCAGGTGCCACGCTAACCAGGCCACGTGGGGCCCTGAGGCTGCACCAACAATTAACCTCCTGGCAGCCAGCAAGCCCACTCTCCCTAAAGGTGTTGTAGGGAGAGTGTTTGTTTGTTTTGGTAATGAGGTGAAATTCGCATAACATCAAATTAACCATTTTAGAGTGTACAGCTCCCTGGCCTTTCTGTACACGCGGCGTTGTGCAACCCCAGCTTCTATCAGGTTCCAAGATGTTGTCATCACCCCAATAGGAAACTCCGTCCGCATTAGCAAGCAGCAGCTCTGCCGGTGCCGCGCCCCGCCCCCACCCGCCCCGACCCGCCAGCCACTAATCTGCCCTCGGTTCCCACGGGGTTGCAGTTCTAGATGTCCATGGAATCTTACAATGCATGCAGTCCTGTGTCCCGGCCACCCTCCTTGAGCAGTGTTCCACTGTGCATCCACGCTGCAGCACACCAGAGCTCTGTTCTTTTTTAAGGCTGAATACTATTCCAGGGCACACAGGCTCATGGCGGATGGTGCCCTGACCCAGCGGCCACACTGGCTCTGGTGGTCATGGTCAGCTCTTCGGGTGCTCTGGTGTTGTCGGGTGTTCTCACTTTCGGAGGAGTGGCAAGCGGATTGGTTTTCAGCACCCCAAAAGGAACCCAGAGATAGAAGGAAAAGGATCTGGATATAAAACAACAGACTGCGTGTGCTTAGCCAGGTGGAAGGCCACCGGGGGTCCCCAAAGCTGGAACGGGGCGGGGGGGGGAACTCTTCATGCCCACTGGGCAGCGGCCCTTCCTTGAGACATGGTGTTTTTCCAGGGCAGCTGGACAGTCCCCGTGTGGCCCGAGCCCCAGCATGTGCAGCACCGGCCGCGACACTCAATCCCCCGGGGTCCACCTGCCTGCCCCACCCACTAATCTGGCCCCGACACCCCCCCCCACCCCGTCTCCCAGGAGCATAACGGGCAGACACGCCCCAGGCCAGCTTTGAGGAAGGGCGTGTGGACGGGGCGGGGTGACGCGGGCTGGAATCTGGGGAATTCAGCCTAAAGTAACTGTAGATCCTCGGAAGCCAGGCTGGGGAATGAGGTGGACCAGAGCCACGCTGGGCTCACAGCCACTCGGGCCCTGGACCGGCGGGACTCCCCTCGTTCCCAGACTCCCCACAGACTCCTGCCACAAAGACCCGTGGTTTCCTGGGGGACGGGGCTCAGACAGCACAGTGGGCAGCCTCTCTGCCCTGAGGACCACCATAGCTGGTGCTCTCTGCCTGAATGAGACCCACCAGCACCCATTCCCTCCCCGTCCACCCCCCCACCCCGCAGGTCTGTGGGTCCCTCTGCCGGGGCTCCTCCCCTGCTGCCCGGCAAACTCTACCCCAGAAAAAGCCCCAGCCTGGTACCACGGCCCTCAGCAGGAAGCAGCGGGGTCCTGTGACCCCCTCAGACCCCCAGCGACCGCCTTCTCCCAACTCCCCCACGCGATGAGATGTGACACAGGCCCACAGCCCGGTCTGAGCAGGGTCTGGGTCCCCGGAACGGCGGCGGCGGCGGGCTCCCCGGGCTGCCTGGAGTGGGCGGATGTGTACATGAGCAAGCCGAAACCGACAGCTCTACCAGAAGCAGTTCCACGAGTTCAAGGCCACCACACACCCCGTTTCAGAAAGGACTGAAAGATACACGCACGGCGGCGGAGCCCAGCACAGGCCTCGACCTCGCTTCTGAGGGAAATGCCAGCTTCCACGTCCCACCACCAGGACAAGTGTGCTCGCCAGGCAGAAACGCCGGGGAACGGCACGTGCCAGGAGCCCAGGGCCTTCCTGCACCGCTGGGCATGTGAGGGGCTGGGCTCGGTTCTCACACCACCCACAGCTACCTGGATGCACTTCTTGTTCCACTGCCAAAAGAACTGAAGACAGGTGTCCAAACAAAGCCTTCCACACAAACGCTCCCAGCAGGCACCATTCACCATGGCCAGTGAGTGGAAACAACTCGGTGATGGATGAGCGGAGAAACACAAAATGTGGTATGTCCATATAATGGAATATTATTTGGCTGTGAAAAGGAATGCAGAACTCATTCATACTACAATGTGGAAGAAGCTCAAAAAGATGATATTTAGAGAAAGAAGTCAGACACAGAAGGCCACAGGTTGTCAGAGTCCATTTATTCGCAATGCCCAGAATGGGTAAATCCATGGAGACAGAAAGTGGATCTGTGTGTGCCAGGAGTTGGGGGGGAGGAAGCAGGGAGTGGCTTTTAGTAGGTGTGGAGTTTCCATTTGGAGTGATGGAAAGCTTCCGGAACTAGGTAGAAGGTTGCCACAGAAAAATATTAGCTGGAAGGCTGCAATATACAAATACCAAATGGTAGTGACTTAGATGCTTTCGAGTGGTGAATCTTACTGTATGTGTATTTCAATCACAATTTGTTAAATGAATATGATAGGACCCTTGGCTGGAGGGAAGGCTCGGTGGCAGGGAAGTTTCCAGAACCGCCTTGGGTATGGGGGCCAGTGCACAGGTTCAAAGCAGAGCAAGCCGTTTTGGCTGTTTTTGTTTTCTGTCCTTTTTGTCCTGTTGGTTGATCTGTCTTCGGGAGGGTGAGGCGGGCACCGAGATGGAGGGACAAAGGGTGAACAGATGCAGCCGTGGTCCTCACTGGACACCACGTGGGAAATGAACTCTATAACTCATGGATGGGGACGGGAGGGAAAACCTGGGGGACAGGGAGGGAAGGGGGGACATGGTCCAAAGGGAAATGTGCTCTCTACCTGCTCACGTAACTGTAACCCCTTCAAATAAAAATAACTTTTTAAAAGGTGAATCCTAGGTGGGCACCAGTGGCTCACGCCTGTCACCCTAGCTACTCAGGAGGTTGAGAAATGGGGATCATGGTTCAAAGCCAGCCCAGGCAGGAAAAACGGTAAGACTCATAGCTCCAATTAACCATCAAAAAGCTGGAATTGGAACTGTGGCTCAAGTGGCCATCCTTGAGCAAAAAGACTCAAAACCAGTGCCCAGGCCATGAGTTCAAGCCCAGGACCGGCACACACACACACGCACACACACACACACACAGGTGAATCAAATCTTCAGGTGACAGAGTGTAAGCGACCAGATAGTCACTCAGAAGTAATTTCCAGGTCACCTTTCTTTTCGCACAGGGTGTTTTCCACGACTGATTCTAAGCACGCCCCTCGGCTGCTGGGTGCTGCACAGTGCTGCTGGATTCTATTAGATCAAACCTTGGCAGCCCTCACTCCACAGCCGTAACCACAGCCCAGAGAGGCTAGAGAGCTGCCTCGGTTGACCAGCCACGCTGGGGACTGGGGTTCTGCTTCCAGAGCCCAGGTGGAGACTGAAGTGCAGACCAGGGAGCCACCCAGCGGGGGCTGGCTGCCCCTCCCCTTTGCTTGTTTTAAAACATGAACACACCATGCAGACCAGCCCCCCCTGCCTTTGCCTCCTGAGTGCAAGGATTCTGGGTGTGTACCACGACCCCTAACTAGATCCTCATCTAGTTCTCAGAAGACAGCTTAAATCACCACCTCTCCCCAAGGGCTTTCAGGGCATCCATCATTCCTTCACTCATTCATTCACCCATCCATTCGCTCATCCATCCTCGAGTCACAGCGTTGTGAGTCTGGCTGTGGTCTAGACCCCTCCCACCCATCCTCCTCCGAAGCAGGTCCTGTCTCCGCAAGCCTGGCTGCGGACAGGGCGGGCATCCTCAGAAAACCACCTGTGGGGACTGGTATGGAAACCCCTGGCCAGTGGCTTCTCCGGGAGCCAGGCAGCAGGCGGACTGGGCTGTGCGCTGGAGTTGCTGGGAGCCGAGGTATACC